TTTTGAATACCTTATTCAAAGTTTCGTACACTATACGATGATCCGCTCAATGTGTAAACACTAAAAACAATTTAGCATGAGGTAATAAACTTTATAAATCAGTAGCTAGAAAATGAGTATGTGACCAAACAATCTGCTCTACAAACTAAAGTGCTCTTAAAAAGACGTACTAAGGAATAATGTGGAAATGTGCTGGCGTTCTTGTACATACAGCCGAGTTTTTTATATATGATATGTAGATCTCTGTTTAGTGGTAGAACATACACATCGCCAACTTTGTTTCATAAAAAGGTGAAAAAGTACATCATTTTTAATGATCATTTGCTTAATTTATGGTCACTTTTCTTGAAATTGTGTCGGAAATTACTCCAACTTTATACAGCACTTCATAAATTCGTAACCTCATGTTCATATTTAACCGACGATCAAAGTATTCGGTAATGATTTCACCCATATCTCATGCAAAAATGGGATTTGTTAAGTGAAGAAATGCTTTATTAAGATATTTTAGTTCCAAGTTGGTTTTAACTTAGAGTTGATTTTGTTAGTAGCTCATTATCTGTTTACATAGAGTTGAATGTGCTGACTAAACATCAAACGACAAGCCACGGTTAGGGTTCGAAATCTAACGATATTATTTAGTCCCCTAAGACTGAAGGTAAGTCGGTATCCGAACATGTCACTCACTAGTAAAATTTAAGTATCATAGATACAGTTGAACACATTTTAGATAAACTCAGTATATTTAACGTGTTAATCTAAGATATATTAGTCGCGTTTATATCTTAGTTCTAAAATTTTACAACCACATACAGTCTTCTCTTTCTCCATAATCTTACTGAAACTATTTGGAAAATCGTTTTAGTTTATATATTGTCTGGAGAAACAGAAATTAGGTATTGTAGTTACATACATGATTTTCCGAAAATCGTTTTTTTTTCAGATAGTTTCTGCAAATCATGAACCTATTTCATCCAGCATTGCTTATCCAAAGCCTAGTGACATTATGGAATGTTTCTCAACTAATCTGGGATGTGACCTTTTCAAAATGGTAATATTTTTGTGTGTAGTTTGGATAGATTAATGTTTGCATCGTTTTCGAGCGACTTTCAACTATCATTAGCTCAATGGATTTAAATGTTTCTCTGATTGGGAAAATAGAAGTTGTAATACTTCAAGCATCTAATTTACTTTTTCGATTGACAAATATGTTAGTTCCTTCTAGATTTTATCATCTGATGTAATAATTAAGGTGTATTGGTTTTGGTTTAATAACCAGAAGTTAATTTCGTGGTAATGACAAAGTTATGCCACTTAAACGGGTAGAGCATAAAGATCACAAGACATGGAAACTGACTGTTTTGTGTAAAGTGATGAACTGAGTACCTGTAGATTTTGTTGCTATTTACAGCCGAAAAGCTCATTTTATGTTCGGTATAAAAAAGTGCTTAACGTTGGAAAGCTGAAGACTTGATACTTGTTGACGTGAACCACAGTCAGTTTGTCAATTTTTCTATTAATTATTTCCTGACCGAAATTTCCGAATATTATCCAATGGATTGTACATTTTATAAGCAAATTAGATGAGAATTCTAGAATAATGCATGGATACGCACTTTTACCGTATCTTGTAATATCACTTATTTCTTTTAGGTGATCTAAATTCCACGAACGTTTTGTGAATAGTAGTTTTGAGCAGAAGCACTTACAGCAATGATCAATAACAACTATTAAAGAGTTTTACACATTTACCATTTTTGCCTAATGATGTTTCCCGCAGTATATCTTATATACAAAAACTTAAGTACACTCATGCTTAACTTTTTAAACACAAAACGATTAAATTATCTACATACTAAGTCATTGAGATTTAAGTTTCTTACTGATGTGTCGAAAACTACTAAGTTTAAAAAGCAAACCAGCACCTTGCTTCAGTCTTCCTATAATAAACCTCTATAACTAATAATTACATGCTAATACCACTAAACTATATACTTCTTTACACTACTGAGGGTTAAAGAACCTACTACTTATATAATACTCAGTGTTGACTTGAACAGTTAATACATGTTATCAGGTGTATATCCTGGTGTAACTCATTGTTTATCCCCATAATCACGTTCTTTGCTGTAAAGAACCTTGAGTATTTCTATACAAATGTAAGATTCTCAAAGACATTACTACATACCTAGCTAAACCACGGGAGAAACATGTCAACATTCTACCTAACAGAAATATTCAAGACCTCAAAATAAACTCGCAGCAAATATTTGACTTGCTGATAAGTTCATTTTGTTTGAGCTAAGGTCTCATGACAGATTACTAAGGGTGAACAATTAATCTTGATTAACTAGTACGACAAACTTTAATCCCACCCACAATCTGAAGAAACTTTCAAATGATCAACGCTTCTGATTGCTTGGCACTATCCCACTAGCCTCAATAATAATCAGACGCCTAACTAAGACTCGTGAACTGCAAACACGAGAAAATCAAGCTGGCTTCAGACCTGGTCGTGGCTGCATCGACCACATATTCACCATTCATCAGGTTCTAGAACACAGGCATACTTATCGGCGTCCGACGATGGTGGTCTTTCTTGACTTAAAAGCAGCATTTGACTCGGTAGACCGCGAGATTCTGTGGCAGTGTCTGTCATTGAAAGGCGTACCCCAGAAGTACATAAACCTTGTAAAGGCTCTTTACTCGAACACTACTAGTCGAGTGAGAGCTTATGGCGAACTGTCATCTAGTTTTGCAACCTCAAGTGGTGTCCGTCAAGGATGTCCACTTTCCCCATTTTTGTTTAACTTCATCATAGATCTATTGATGGAAATAACTTTCTCGTCGACTGAGTTCTCGAGTATTGATCTCCTTCCAGGAGGTCCACTTATCGACTTAGAATACGCAGATGACATAGTCCTGTTTGGTGAAGACGCTGACTAAATGCAGAGTCTTCTGGTAGCACTGAACAACAATGCCAGGATGTTTGGAATGCGCTTCTCTCCCTCTAAATGCAAGTTGTTGCTTCAGGACTGGTCTGCGTTAACACCTGAACTAAGGATAGGGAGTGAAGTAGTCGAACGCGTTGACAACTTCACTTATCTTGGAAGTCTGACCAGCCCTAATAGGTTGGTATCGGACGAAATCTCAGCACGGATTCGAAAAGCTCGTTCGGCTTTTGCCAACTTACGTCACCTATGGCGAAAGCGAGATATCCGTCTATCAATAAAAGGACGGGTATACTGCGCGGCAGTCCGTTCTGTTTTAATTTACGGCAGCGAAACATGACCATTAAGAGTAGAAGACACTCGTAAGCTATTAGTATTTGACCACAGATGCCTAAGAAATATTGCTGGCGTCTGCTGGGATAACCGGGTAAGTAATAGTGAGGTTAGACGCAGGGTATTAGGAAAGGATGGTAAATCAGTTGATGAGGTTATGGATCTTCATCAACTGAGATGGTTGGGCCACGTGTTACGTATGCCTGAACACCGATTACCACAACGTGCAATGCTATCCGGTATTGGAAATGGTTGGAAGAAAGTTAGGGGCGGCCAAACCAAAACGTGGCATCAGTGCTTGAAGTCACTAACTTCTAGTCTGAGCCATGTTGGTAGATGCAGACTACTTGATTGGGGTCCGCGTGACTGTCGTAACCAATGGTTGGAGACTCTTGGTGACATGGCTCAGAATCGATCACAATGGCGTCGGTGTATACACTCCCTGTCTTCCCTTAAACTATGAGATTAAAATCGCTTCATATCTTTCTTTCTACGAACCAATTCTTTCTGCTTGTACTATATCTCTATATGCAATCTTTCTCTTATATATTACCACCTTTTACCTAACCACTGTTATGAATCTGGTGTTCATCTTGTTGTGTTGATGCAGTATGGCAACCTGGACAGATGCACATATGTGCCTGGTCCTACGTTGTAGCTGACTGAATGACTGACCATGCCTTTTAACCCCAGTAACGATCTAGAATCACTGTCTGGGTTAAATTAATTATAGTAATGATTCCAGGGCAAAACCATACTGTCCAATAAGATTGTAAGAAGTTTCTTCTGATTGTATTCCCTCGTTACTAGAATTTTTTCCTTGATAAGTTACTTTATATGTTAGTTTGAACCCACTTCCATTTACTTTGCTCACTTGCAGAATTTCTTCATACCCATTCTCATATTTCCAACTGATCGTATGTTTTTGTTTACAGTATCTCAGTCCTGTGGATTATAAGTATGTACAAATGTTAAAAACACCTGTACCCGCACAAACCTACCTGCCATTGGGCCTACATGAGATAAAGATATCACATCTAGTCAGTATTCTGTTAATAGGACTAACTGGGGAACGAACTTCAACACCAGCATGTCCACCTTTTGATAAACGGGGTCCTTACACATATTGGATGGGATGTAAGTAAATAATTTTTGTTTTCCTGTTTAGTATTTACTTAGAGTTCATGTTTAGATATATCTCGTGTCCAGCATATAAGATAAGAACCTTGGAACTAAAACTCGTTTCAATTGTTTTATTCTACACAAGAACTGGCTTGAAACCACTTCAGTTACGCACTACATGCATGTAGTTACTATTATCTAATTACACTCGTATTTCTACTCTAATTGTCAGTTTTTATATTAGTGATATGTAAGGTCAATTTTTAGTTGTTATTACAAGCCACGATGTCCCGTCATGTTTTTTGCTGTATTTAGTTATAGCACATCATTTTGATGACGTTAGCTACTAACAACTTACCCGTTAATTCAAAGGAAAGATATAAGATATTAAACGCTAGATATATTCATGTTTACACTTGGCTCATCTCATCAATTTCCATAAACATAACTGGTGCAAAGAATACCTGTCGCGCATATTTTGGATATGCATTCTCATTGCTCAAACAGTTACAAGTGTTCCCTTTTAGCAATTCTACTCTCTTCTTTTTATACAAAAAAAAACAGATTTCAACGGATCTGAACAATGTTACTTCACACGCATGGACATAACATCACAATTTTTGATGATGGAAAACGAAAAACTCAAAGCCCCAGCCTGGATGCGTAGTCGCGAACATTCTGAAAGGTTTTTGCGCTGGTATCGCGGTGCATCTCCAACGGTTGATGGATTCAGTGTGGCGCTAGGGATTTTCCTTATGACCCTCACACTTCTCATAGCTCTGTACATCAAAGAGGCTATTAATAAGAAAATAATACAAATACCTGCACAAATGGAAATTTTATATACATCTGACAACGAAAATCGTTTCACACCTACATAAAAATTTTCTGAAAAAGATGTACATACAGAATATATTCTTTTAGACAAATTTCACTTTCTTCGCAGCATTTGATGGGTGTAGAGCACTTCGTTCTTGAGCAACCTTTTGAGCTTTTTCAACCAGACTAGTCAGTTGGCCGTTTTCACCCAGCATCTTGAGAAGCTCCACGATAAGTGGCAAATAGTTGTGTCGACGACGAATATTTTCTGCGCGATACGCTGCAATTTTCTTCTTTTCACTGGCGATATTGTTCGTTAGTTCTGTTATGTAGGCAGATTCTGGCTACAAAGCAAGCGTAGTAACATGACAGAATTCATAACCAGTATGATATAAATAAGCCTCACATTGTAAAGAGTTAATATGTACCAAATATAGGTTGTATTTACCAATACAACGGTATTAAAGTAAAGTAATGATATCACAGTTTAAAAGCTTTATGAAGTTTCGAGTTTTACAAACCTTACATGAGTGGCAGTCATACAAATATTTTCCTCAAACCCTGGTGAAGGGTTCAAATATGATTAAAAGCTAGTATAAATGTTTGTCAATCACATCTCGTACATTTGATGCAGAATCTCAGTAGGAGCTGGGACGTTATACGTACCTAGAAACATCATTGGTAAACAAGGCGGTCCCGATGCATGCATCCAGTGGCAACACCATGTTAGTAACCAGAGGTTCGGCAGCGTGTGTCTGGGCACAACTGAAACACCGACTTTAGTGGCTTGCACATATACTACGAAAATCGTTTCAGCGAATCCCACATTGTGTATTATTTGCGGACACTGAGACTGGTTGTAAAAGGTGGAGAGGTGGTCAGTGTATGACAGTCAGTCATCAACAACGTAAAACAAGGTACGTATGTACATCAGTTCAAGCTGTCATACCACATTAGCACAGAGATACAATTGTCAATTCAAACCCCGTAGTGGTAGAGGTAGTAAAAGTATAAGCAGTAATCGGAAAGATTAGGGTTTGAAGATGTTATTCAATGGGTATAATCTAGTGAAATAAATTTGGAAAGAAAATAAAGGACATGAAGAATTCAGAAGGTTAGAATTTGGGAGAACACAAAGAGTGGATGCGCCTGTGCCATTGCCAACGACTTTAAGCCGTCATTCAAGGTCTCTAACCATCGGTTGCTATCGTCTCGCGGATTCCAACCAGATAGTCTACACCTACCAACATGGTTCAGTCCACTTGTCAGTGACTTCATGGATTTGTGACATGTCTTGATCTGGGCGCCCCTAGTTAGCTTCCAATCTACTCTTACACTATGGAACATCGCACGTTTCACTTCTTCATGAATTGATTTGCCATCCTTAGCTAGTATCTGTTTTCTAACAAGCGCGTTACTTACTCGATGGTCCCAGGATACACAACCAATGTTTCGAAGACACCTTTGATCAAATACTAATAACCTCTACTCTTACCGGCCATGTTTCACTGCCATAAAGTAAGACGAAACGAACTGCTGCGCAGTAAACACGTCCTTTGGTTGATAGACGGATATCTCGCCTACGCCATAAATGACGCAAGTTGGCAGAAGCTAGTCGAGCCTTCTGTATCCGTGTTGAAATTCGGTCACACACAAAACGCTCAATTACTTCACTCCCTATCATTAGTTCGAGTGTCCATGCAACCCAATCCTGAAGCAACATTTTGCATTTCGAGGGAGAAAATCACATCCCGAACATGCTTGCATTGTTGCTTAGAGTGGTCAGAAGACTCTGCATTTTGTCAGCGTCTTCACCAAACAGAACCGCTCTGGCTTTCACTATACGGGCATTGACCTCACACACCCACCAGCACTTATGCAGCTACCTAGATACACGAACTTTTCGACTACTTCTATCTACTCACCATCCAGGGTGAGTACAGGATTAGAATCTTGCCATTCTTGTAGAAGTACTTTGCACTTCGAAGGTGCAAAGCACAAACCATACCTACGGGCACTGACTGTCAACTGATTAAGTGCGGATTGCATGCCTTGAGCATTATCGCACAGTAAGACAATATCATCCGCATACTCAAGGTCGAGGAGTCTTTCTCCAGGCAACAGATCCACACCACCATTACTCACATCCATCAGAGTTGTTTCCAGAATGTCATCGATGGCAGAGTTGAAGAGTAATGGTGAGATTGGGCAACCCTGCTTAACCCCACTGCTCGAATGGAACAATCGAAAGAGGTGGTTATATGCCTTCACTCTGCCTGAGCTGTTTGTATATAGGGCTGTTAGGATGTTAATAAACTTCTCAGGCACACCCTTCTTCAATAGACAATCTCAGAGAACAGTCCTATCCAACGAATCGAAGGCAGTCCTGATGTCAAGAAACACTACGATTGTTGGCCTTTGATAAGTATAGCGGTGTTCTAACATTTGGCGGAGGGTGAAGATATGATCAATACATCCTCGACCAGAACGAAACTCAGCCTGTTCCTCGCGAGTCAATCTTTCTCGGATTTTGAACAACCTACGAAGTATGACGGAAGTCAATAGCTTGGACGCAACCGGAAGTAGACTTATCCCCCGATAGTTGTTACAGGAACGACGTGAACCCTTTTTAAAGATAGGGACAACTATCGACTCACTCCATGACGTTGGTACACTCTCTAGCTCCCAAACCTTTGTAAACAACACAGTCAGTTCCTTAGTCAGAAAGTCACTGCCATCTCTAAAAAAAGCCGGAGGTAAGTCATCTGGGCCAGGTGATTTGTAACGCTTCAAAAGTTGGAGTTCCTTGCGGACTTCCGCCTCATTTGGCGGATCAGTCGTCACCGGCCATGGAGGGCAGGACAGTCTGACCGATGTTGCCGGAGCACCAGGCCAGTTGAACTGCCCATCGTCCAAGAAGTCGATAGATGTTAGTGATTGGCATCCCATCATCCTCGCAGATTGTTTCGCTCACACCAGACTTCCTGCTGCCAGTGGCTCGGATGAGTTGGAAAAGCTTCCGGTAGTTACCAGATGCAGCTGCTGCTGATGATGAAAAGACATCGTTTCTCACACCGAGTTCTTCTTAATCTGATGGAGCTTTCTAATCTAACAACACATAATCGACTGTTAATGGGGATCCAATCTATTAGTGCTGCTTCAGCTCTAGCATCTAGTGTGACACCAACGCCAGCACGACCAGACGAATATGCCACAGGGTCCCCGGATAAGCGCACGTAAAACAAGCTTTTCGAAGCGACAGATGAAGAGCGAATTTGTAGTACTTCACCAGAGTCTTGAATACGGGTCTCAGATAGACAGCAAACATCGATATTAAGACTTTCCAAAGATATAGCCAGCACTATCTGTTGTCCGACCTGCATAAGTGTGCGAACGTTGAAGGCAGCCAGTTTGAATGGTGCACGTGGTTTCGGAAAAACTGCTTCAGTACTCGTATTCGGTGGTAACATACATTTTTCAACCGGACAGTGACTTGAGAACGTTTAGATAGAGCCGAATTTCCACCAAAGACGAGCTGCTGTATAAGTCGAAAAAAATAAGTATAGACAGAGTAAGAATAAAAGAGGGTGAATAACGTGGTAAATAATAATAATAATAATTTGATTGTTAGTTGAAGCAAGTAAGGTAGTTTCCATAATTATAGGCAGTTCATCATATTTGTGTGTGGGCTGTGATACTGCCCGGGTGCCCAGACCGAAGCCGGTGGTTATCTTAGGGGGCCACACCTCGAGCCTTTGACCTAAAGGTCTAACCCACAAGGCAGTAGAGCATCGTAATGAGATTCAGTCCTATGGTAGCCGGTGACCAACGATTGGTTCATACGCCATTTGTTCCCTCAGGATACTGGTGCCCATGTGCACCATTGGTTTGGGATCCGGTTAAAGCGCCGGACATTTGCTTTTCGTCCTCTCATTTTCGTAAACAACACCCTCGCCACGAGAAGGCAATGAGTAGGACTTCCCTCGCAGAGACTGTATACACGTGGCCGTGTGAGAGTATTTCGAGGGGGAGAGCGGACTCTCTCTACTCTCGGCCGTACTAGGGCATTTGGGGGCCCTGACGAACATCACACAACAATTCCGATGACAGTTCTCCATAAGTTCTCACTTAAACATTGGTGTTCGAGTAGATACCCTTTATAAGGTTAATGTACTCCTTTCAGTGACAAACACTGCCATAGAACCTCATGATCAACAGAGTCGAATGCCACCCTGAGATTGGGAAATACTACTATTGTGGGATGTCTGAATGTGTATCTATGTTCTAGGACCTGACGTAATGTGGATATCTAGTCTATACAGCCATGTCCAGATCGGGGACCAGTCTGGTTTTCTCTAGTCTGCTCTTTACGAGCTTTACTTAGGCGTCGAAGTATTATTGAAGCTAATGTTTTAGACACTATATTAGTCAATCTGATTCCTTTGTCACAAGATCACTATCCTTAAAAATCTCAGGAGTAAACCTGTCAGGGCCTGCTGCTCTTTCACGCTTAAGATCTCCTATAACTTTTTCAACTTCGTAAGGAGTCGGAGGACCTACATTATCTTGCCATTCCGGTTGACTGGAGATCGTGGGAAACCGAAGTGTGGCTGAAGGCCAGTTGAAATGATCCCTAAAGTGTTCTGCCTATCGATCCAATCTTCTGGATTGAGAATGTATAATATGTCCATTTTTCTGTGAGATTGTTTCGCTAACAGTTAAGTTCCTAATATCCGTTTTCTTAACAAGACTGAACAATTATCTGCTATTACCTATTGACACTGCCTTTTCAATCTCTCTTGCTTTCGCTACCCACCACTGTTCACGATCATTGCGTAAACTTCTTGTCAGCTTGCGCTTAAGCTGACTTCGCTCTTCATTATGTTCAGAGTCAGGTGGAATGAGTTTCCGAGCATCTATCACTGCGGTAGATGCTGCTGAGATCCAGTGTTGCTCCATAACCTTACGGGTTACCATACTAGCAGATATCACTGCTGTTTCCACAGCTTTTCGGATATCATTCCATGCTGCCTCGGGGGTGGGCGTCACATACATGGCTGCCTAACTGTTTTCCTAGTTGTTCCTGAAATATACTCTTAGCTTGACTATCATTAAGTAGGGCCCTAAGAGGCTTACCTGCAGTGTCTTTCCTACGTCCAGTAAGACGCAGACAGATACGCGCTCGTACTAGAGCATGATCTGAATCTAAGCATGTGCTCCAGAATGAGGGAAAGTCTTCTATCAAGCCCCTCCATTGGTGGCTGATAGCGATGTGATCTATTTGAGCCCAACGTTGGAACGAATTCGGGTGTCTTCATGTCAAAAGATGTTTCTACTTATGCCTAAAGTTAGTATTTGCAAGAAAGAGGCGGTTATTTGAGCATAGGTGCAACAGACGGTCGCCATCAACTGTTCTTTGAGGCGCGACACCATAAGATCCACTCAGGTGTCTTTACCTATCGCTTAGTTTATCTACTTGAGTATTAAAGTCACCAGCCACTATTACTGCATCAGAGTGCCTGAACCTTTTGCAGAAGGTCGGAAAGCTTTCTATAAAACTCATCTTTTACATCATCTGAGCTGCAGTCAGTGGGAGAGTAGGTAGAGATGACGAAGAGGCAACGACGGGTGTTCCTATCATTCCGAGTCCTTACTGTCCCGTTTAGTCGAACAGCTCACAGGCGACTGTCTACTGGGATCCAACCTAAGAGAGCTGGTTCTACCCTATGACTTATTGCTATACCTACGCCTGCGAGGCTACGAGAAGCAGCATCAGGGCTTCCAGATACACGAAGTGTGAGCCGATGTGGGTCTTTATTTTGATATGGTGAGGTCAAATGAATGACGCCACTCGGATCCTGTATGCGTGTTTGGGAGATGCAGCACAAATCAATGGCACAAGATTCTAAAGTCTTAGCTAAGGAAGAATGTTGTCTTATTTGTCAGTGTTCGGACGTTAAAAGCTTTTACATGTAGTTTAGAGCATGGTTTCAGTAGAGCAGGAATAACGTTCCGCGTACTCGGATCGTTTGATCTGGCAGCGCGAGGTGATAGAGGAATGTGAGAAGGATTATTCGCGAAGAGTTATTATGAGGTGTAGAAAGGATTTGAATGTGACCAACTTGATCTCGTGTGCTGTTTCGGGAATGAGGACTGATGCCATTTCTCTGCTGCTCACACCATGGAAGGGTATTTCTTGAGGAACCTGAAAAGGAAGTTGGATTAGTGTTGGTCTTAACAACCTGGGAGCGTGACCGCAGAGTTCAAGGGACAACTGCTTGAGTCAGAACTTATGGCAAACTTTGATCTGATTTTGCAACCTCAAGTGGTGTCCGTCGAGGCTGTCCACTTCCTCCATTTTTATTTAAATTCATCATAGATATACTGATGGGAATAACGCTCTCATCGACTGAGTTTTCGGGTATTGATCTTCTCCTATGAGGTTCACTTATCGACTTATAATACGCAGATGACATAGTCCTGTTTGGTGAAGACGCTAATAAAATGTAGTCTTCTGGTAGCACTAAGCAACAATGCCAAAATGTTTGGAATGCGCTTCTCTCTCTCTAAATGCAAGGTGTTGCTTCAGAACTAGTCTGCGTCAACACCTGAACTAAAGATAGGGAGTGAAGTAGTAGAACGCGTTGACAAATTCGCTTATCTTGGAAGTCTGATCAGCCCTAACAGGTTGGTGTCTGACAAAATCTCAGCACGGATTCGGAAAGCTCGTCTGGCTTTTGCCAACTTACGTCACCTATGGTGAAGACGAGAATACTGTACGACAAGTAATTTTGTTCTACTTCAGGGCTGCGAAACGTGGCCATTAAGAGCAGAATATACCCGTAAGCTACTATTATTTGACCACAGATGCCTTATAAATATTGCTCGCATCTGCTGGGATCATCGGGTAAGTAATAGTGAGGTTAGATGCATGGTATTAGGGGATTATGCTAAATCAGTTGATGAGGTTGTGAACTTTCATCGACTGAGATGTTTGGGCATTAAATTAGCATAGCTTAGAATAATTCGGAGAAATGTATTTGCACCCATCCCTCAGCAGCCCATTTTGGAGTTGGCTCACAGTTGTATTTTGCTCACACTTTCATAATTTTGATTTGCAGATACTCAAAACAGGTAAGCGACTTCCCGAGTGACTCAAATGAGTTCTCACAGAATCGTAATTTCCTGTTGAGAAACCGTGACCTAGTGTCAATATATTGTCCTTGTTTCATGGCTTTTTACAAAAAAGAAGGGAGTACTAAAAGGGGAGAACAATTACAACTACTACGTATGGTAGTTCTTTGAAAATCCTGTCGAGTAAGGAAGCGACATTCTCAGGATAACTCTTCAGTTTGCGTTCACGTTCGCAGTTTTCAAGACTATAACTCCATCAAATGACAAGAAAATGGTCACACAAATGGTACCCACTGAAACGTAAAATGTACAGACTTACATCACTTGAGTCCTTTTTATATTGTGCCAACTGTTTTTCGTACATAGCAAGTCGATTAGGGACTACTGCCATTATATTGAACTTTCCGTCTACACATTTCTCCATACGCTTCATTAGCAACGGACGAAGCGAATCTATCCAAGATGAATTTTCAGGTAGTTTTCCGTGATCAACAGGGCCGGGTTTTAAGCCATCTAATTCGTACAAAGTACCATTAATAGGAACATAACCAACAAAATGGTAAACGTCTTCATTTGACTTAGGGGTTTTCTCGTCAAACTCGAATAACTGGTAACTAATTACATATTAGCAACACGAAGGAAGATTACTTGCTAAAGCTGTTATGTACGACTCTAATTTGATCAGAATTGCTTATAGCAGTACCCTTCATCTAGAAAAACTTGTTAGGAAGACATATTTCATACTGTACTGTCAAAGTCTGACACAAAAGACTTGAAATCAGACAACGTTGGACCAATGGACACTTTGTCATCAATATTTAACAAGATATTAATGATTGCTTGAGTCGCACAAGCATTTGAAATTGTCTAACAGAAATGTTTGAACAATTGCTACGCTACTTGTTTCGCAAAAAATATGCCCCTGTTATTTGCGTCAGTTACCACTTTTCCAACGTTATCTTGTTTATCATCGTAGTTAAATAGGAAAATGAACCCAAGTGCGTCAGACACGCTGCTTGTTTCTGTTAGATCATAAACTTCTTCGCATTCCAAACTTTCTACACCTAGAAACTATATTAAGCAGTGTGCTATGACTAACCGAAACCTCTGATAAGTTCAGTGAATACTCCAGGATCGCTTTCTATTAAACACCAATTACCACTACTTGACATTGTTTAAATTCGGCCTTCAGAATGAATTTCCCTGACTCAGAAAAAGTAAAATAAGCTCTCAATTTAGTGAAGCATACTGTCATGAACTACCATTTCCTTCAGATAAAAAACTCAAAATTTTTAGATCAAACTGTTTTGGCACAAAAATTATGTTCATGCACACTGCATTTTCCTGTTATCAAAGGTACAAGCATATAAGGTCGCTCGACCTGTGTTAATACTTGCAGCTTGTCTCTAAGTGGAAATTCAGCTACTTGGAAGTGTTCACTGATCGAGTTGATACCAATTATTCGGGTAGAGCTCTCTAGTCATTGATCACTCGATGAGAAAACCAGAATTACGCCCTGAGTTTATTTGATCGCGGTTTTTGAACCCTCTGTCAGCGGTCTCACAGATGATTAGTTTCAATGGTGGAAAAGGATAAAGCACGTTGACATCCAAATCATTATTTAAGATCCAGAGTGAAAATATAAGGTCACCTCACGTTTCACGGTAAGATAAAGCGAAAGGGAGTGAACTTTTGGTCTCTCATCATAAGAGGATCAGGAAACCTCGTTGATAACTTAATTTTTACACTTTAAAAATGATCAAGCGCGGTAGCATCCTTGATAAGACATGGACTAGCTGCTTGGATCCATTATTGCAATTGAACTATAAAGTCTGTAATACGTCTTCATCAAGGCGTTCGAACGCTCAGCGAAGTGACCATAGCACTCGGAAACCTTTGGCACTTTCTTCATTGCAAGACACAGTTGTTTTTAAGTCACAACCCACTATGACACATGGGTCTTTTGTTCCTGTACGCGTGGAAGCGGTTGAGTATTGCTGTCTCACGACAACTCGTCAGTTCGAACCCATACTGAGGATTGTGTTCTGTGAGAATTCTGAGCCAGCTTTCTCAATGAATAACCGTTGGTTTATCAGGGGTCTGTTGTAATTTTTTTACATTTTAGGCGCACATGTAAGATGCTTTTCTGTGAATTACGTGACGTTTGGAAACAATTATATTATCTATTTCATCCTAAAGCTATCCCAGCATTATTGGTTCGCTACATATCGCACGGTTTTTGATATTTTTCCCTTTTTATCTTTTTCCTTTCTTACCTCATAAGTTTATTTTGACTTTTATATTTCACACCTCAATATGCCCAAATGTTTAGTGGTCGGATTGTTCAGAGCATATTGTTGTAATGTAACATATAAACCTGAGAAAATTTGTTTTCTTGCTAAATTATCCGAGTTTATACAGTATATCAAACACTTAAAATTGTGAAGTTGTTAACATGATAACAGTGACGGTTCTCTCAAATGTGGGTCTGCCATCAAAGTAGCCAAAGTTCCTGAATTTGATGAAAGGATGGTCCACGGTACTGAGTGTGATGGATGGTAGTCACACCATTTCCATCCAACTTCAGTAGGCTCCGATCTTCCACACAAATCATCTACGTTCATGATCTTCACGGCCATTCGAACTTGGTTACTGTCAACCCTCAACTTTAAAGCCTGCGTTATATATATTTTTTATTCGTAAAGTTTGTTTCTATTTGACAGAGATTCTAGAAAACTGCAGATTCTTCTGACACAGTAACATCAGTTTTTACGAACGTAGTTGGGGTTTCGATATAAAATAATATAAATGCAGTAGTCATCATTATCATTTGATTATATTATATTGGTGGTGTAGTACTTACCTACGTCTGTTACTCCACGTGAGGAGCATAGGCCGCTCATCAGCATTCTTCATCCAACACTGCCCTCAACAATCCTTTCTGGCTCTTTCAAGTTGTTATTCATCCTTTTCATATCTGTTTCTACTTCTCGGCGTAATTTGTTCTTTGGCCATCCTCTTTTCCGCTTCCCTTCAGAATTCCAAGTAGGGACTTGCCTCGTGATGCAGTTTGATTCTTTACGTAATGCATGTCCTATCCATTTCCATCATCTTTTCCTAATTTCTTCTTCAGCTGGAAGTTGCTTTGTTTGTATGCGCCAGGAGGGCTAGGTCACATGCGAAGTCCGAATCGTCTAATTGGTTCTAAGCTGTCAACTGTACTCCGTGCTTTTCCTCAGATGTCTTCATAATCCAGTCGACCACCAGAACAAAGAGAAAGGGAAAGAGTAGACAGCCTTGTTTGACTCCTGTCCTTACTTGGAATGCATCTGTCAGCTGTCCTCCATGTACTACTTTACACTGTGGTCTGTCATATGAGTTCCGGATAATGTCGACAATCTTCTCAGGAACTCCATAGTGTCGAAAAAGTTTCCATAAGCTTTTTCTATCTTCGCTGTCAAATGCCTTCTCATAGTCAAGGGTGTTGATGTATGGTGACGAGTTCCATTCAACTGAATGTTCGACGATGATCCGTAATGTCGCAATTTGTTCTGTGCACGACCGATCCTTACGGAATCCAGCCTGTTAATATCAAAGTTGGGCGTCTATTGCATCTTTCATTCGGTTCAGCAACAATGTTAAAGACTTTCCCTGGTGCTTACAGTAGCGTGATGCATATTAGTAGTCTAGTACCATAAATTTATCAGATGATGCCGATTCCAGACTTAAGTCTTATATACTCTACCAGATTAGCCGTATCGTAGATCAAGCAATTCAACTTTTATTTATGTATATATAAAACACCTATATCCAACGTGCCTAGTAGAAGTTTGTTTTTTATCATTTACATTTCGTAAATGCAATATAATACAAAAAGCAGATCAAGAAAACAGGCATAAATTTTCACTAGTGCGACCGTAAAACTCCAGATTTAATCTTAGTTATCGACAGGTTTGATTTACTTAGCTAAATTACAATTTCATTAGGCACAACATTGAATCTCAGGAAATTTGACACCAAGGTATATGCCTGTGCTATCTCTTTAAATTGCTACAAATGCTCACGATATTTTTGAGTTTCCACACATCAAAATCGTGCACATTTATGGGGCATAATATAATGAACGGTCTGTGTCTGCGATACGATCGAAGAATAACTCGCCATCGCAGCTCCCAACCCACTTTCATATATTGCTTAGAGAAAATGCTACGTGTGGGGCGATCCTGAAACATAAATGATTATGAACTATTCAGTGCTACTTTGAACACCGCACAAGACGACGATACCGGTGTGAGTAGTTTACAAGTGGTGTATACAAGATTTCTCCCATATGAGTTCTTTACGAAAAACCACATGAAATATCCTAAATCAACCAGACTAGAACTCAAGACAAGCGTAGAAAGTCTCATAAAACTTGTTGCTGATGGAAAATAAATAGCAAAATCCGGAACAACTTACCATAAGGACAAAGGTTAATTTCAGATTATAAGAGTCTAGATATTATATATTACCTGTTTAACAACAGGTCTTTTACAGCTTGTTTGTTGATTTCAGGAAGGAAATTACCCTACGACATTAAAGCAGTTGATTGTCAACAACTTAATATGAAAACCACGCCAGATATTTACCCCTTACTTCACATCCGTGACTCAACATCTATCGTAAAACGCACAGCTGTCCTTTAAAAAGTCGTCTTCAATAAAGTGTATAGCCAATTTGTCGTGACTGTCGACGAAATTTTCAAGACGACTATCATGGCTACTTGATCGCAAGTGTAAACAGAAAATCCCATCTCCAGCATTTAGATTTGTTTATCATTGAGCACAATAATATAGCATTATTGTAAACGTTCTGAAATATGAAATAGCAATTAACTGTAAAGTGTGATCGATAAAAAAGCCTACCAATGATATCATGAAACGCTCACAACCACATTAGCTTCCTTCGACCTTGCTTTTTCATCATTCACAATTTTATATTTATCATAAAATAATGTTTGTCTAGTTGACTAATTTATTCTATTCCCTGGTTACTGTTATGTATGTTATTTATGTCTCTCTTTTTTCCTGTTTAATGGGCAGTATTAATAATATAATTTCTATACTAATAGTGTTCATTAACGTTTTAGAAACAGATATAGTTTATCATCCCGTAGAAAACTACTTTGCTAAAAGACACTCGCCAGAATAAATAAATTAAGCAACTTAAACTCTAACCTGGGAGTTGTAGGAAGAATTATGACGCCTCGCTATGAGAACCGATATTCTTCAGAAGATACGAGGTCCACGTCCCTCCTTAAAAACAGAAACAATTTTTACGGGTACGTGGTGTGAGGAAAGTCCACAAGTAAACCCAAGGAAACCCTGAGAAGAGCCGAAGATATTCTATCCAATCATCGTTTGGTAGAATATTCCAAAACCCCTAAGTAGAGCTTCCCTACCAAGCAGATGCTAATAACCTTCTGTATGCGGGTTGGAGGACTATAATAATAATTTCGTTTTTTTACTAAACACTAAACATACCTGACAGTTTGTACCATAATTGATACTGTTTGGAATAGCGTTCCTTTCACTTGTTTTCTGTCTTCTTACTTGTGACTTGGGAGTTTTACAGTGTTCGAGTGCTCACGTTATACGCGGTACATTAAGGATCTGAGCTCTAGATATAACACATGAAATGTCCGGACAATGTGGGAGAGTGGAAGGGCTAGTCAAATGGTTATATAATTAAGGAGATACAACTTGGCGGCTCTGAAAATCGGTGCAACACATTGTAGTAAGCTGAACAGGGACGGATAAATTTGGAAAATATGCTGCTGTAATCTGATCATGAAGAAGAAAATTCTCCGTGCAGTCATCAAATTGCTATACTGCTGTCCAAACAAGCAGGTATTGCACTGATAGGACGGGAATCTCATGAATCCAGGATGAGATATACAACATATTTCTGGAGTAAGCAATGTAGTTGCAAACACATTGTCTTGTAAAACTTACTTGAGCAGTTTCAAACGTATTGACCTGCTTAAACTCTCCCAGCTTCAAAAAGAGTAGAGATACTCGGCACGAGCTTTCTTCGACTTACCCTAATCTCCGGACCAAAGAAATTGTAAAGAGCGAGGGAACTTTACCGTGTGACACATTTACAGGTAGGATTTGTCTAGTTTTACCAGAAAGTTTTTGACGCAGTTTCTCCAATTATTTACACAGA